TTTTTTTTTTTTTTTTTAATTACATTTCTGAACACTGCTGCGTGTGACCCGGAACATAAAAGCCAAATTGATTTATCGTTGTTAAAATATTAATTTTTCGAATTTATCGTAAGAACTTGTTATTCGTTTTGTTTTTTTTACATTCAAAAACGTTATTCGAACGGACGAATTATTATTAGTTTCGGTCGGTCTCGGGGGAAGAAAGGCTTGAATCGATTTTCTATAATTTTTCCATACGTTACGTTTTAAAAATCGCCAAACGACATACCGTTGACTCGCGTTTTATCGCCGAAATAAAAAGGTGCGTCATCGTGACTTTTTCAGAGAACTTTCGGTATAGCACAAGTGTTAGAACAATATGCACTGTACACATAATGTTACGTATACGTGTATGCCATTCAAATCGGAAAATAATACGAAATTACGTAGAAAAACAAAAAAAAAAAACCGGTGGTTACAGCCCCGGGATCAGAAGTCCGAAAATGTAAAAATGTCGAACGTACCGCGCGCCCAAACGGCCGCCGCGGTGTTCGATTACAAACATGAACAATTACGAGTTAGAAACTGATGCGCGATTGCGAGTGGCGCGACTAATCGAATGCGACCGTGACGCGGTCGCCGCAGCCGTTCACGTTCAGACGGTTACGGGTCGCGGGGCGCGGTGTAATATTTCGTATCGATGCGCCGTGGCGGGACGACGCCGTCAAAACGCGTTTCGATACGAAAATACGCGGTGCCACCGACGTCCGACAATAACGGGCACACACGCGTCTGACGGTTCGCATTGGTAGGTATTAAAACCGGACGGTTTGTTCACACGGCGACAATCGCTGCGGCCGGTCGTAACGCGCGCGGCGCGCCGTATTCACGCGGTGCGCGCGGAATTTCGTCAGTTTCGTCAGCGAAACGTATCGCCGAACGAATCCGCGCGCAACACTACCGAACCGTGACGCGCATGACGCAGCGTAACGCGCGCACAGGGCGCATCCGCGGGATATGGAGAGAATCGCCCGTGGACATCGGTGTTGTGCGCCGCGTGGTAACGTCAGACGCGTTTGCGAAACGGCGGTTATCGTAAAGCGAAACCCACAAATAATGTGGGCACCGAACAACACGAACCGGACGGACGGATAAACCCTACCAGGAGGGTGAAAGAAAACGGACAACAAAACGGTCGGGGGAGGGATGAACGCGCGACGTTGTAACGAGATTCCGGATCCGCGCGGAACGTTTTCCGCGATGAGCTTTTACGGAATAAGACGGAGAGGGAAAGAACAACCGCGTTACTGTACGGGACGGCACTGTATTTCGTCCGGAAACGACGACAGCCGCCGCGTTACACACACCCCCCCCACCCCGTTAAAAACCCGTCGAACCCGTAACGCGCCGTCGTCCGCGGCGTACCGTCTGAACGATAAATTGACGTTGTGCGGAGCGGTTTTCCGCACGCTAAAGGCTGCTAAAAGGCGCGAGCATAACGCCTCTTTAATAAGCCGATGTCGTAATAACCGCGCGCGATAATACGACGCGGGGCGGCGCGGCAGAACGCGTTCATCGGCCGCCCGCAGCGTCGCGCTGTACGCGAACCCCCCCCGTCCCCTCCCCCGGGGGGGGGGGTTTACGTGCGGTCTCGTGCCGACAGTTTTTCCGCATTGGCATTCGCTCGATACGCAATCGGTCTGGACGACGGTGCTCGGCTCCCCGGCCCTACCTCATCCGCGCGTGTGGGGACCGACAACGATTACAAAAATGATCGTGTTGTGTGTTTGCGAAATTAAACTGCAGTGTATAAAATAATGACAGAACGACCTCCATTGAAACGTATTCAAAAAAATTATGGTATTTTTTTCTTTTAAATGTTTGATAAATTTGTTCAAATAAAGTATCGCCGAATCGCTTTCATTAGATAATCGTAAAACAATTCGAATCGAACAGACAGGTTTACGCGCCTCCTATACGTACATAATGCGATTCGATTTCGTAATTATAAAACGCGATTTCGTATTGACGCCGTTCAACGAATTTGTTCCGTATTTCGGGACGGGGAGTAACGTCTTATTAATATTATGCGCCTGTATCGTTCGCGGATTTTGATTTTCGACACCGTGGCGTATAATATCGTAAAAAAAAAAGAGAGAGAGAGAGAGAGAGAGAGTGAGAGAAAGAGACCGTAATATCGTTAAACACCTAGGTCCGAATAAATGAATAATAACGTCGTAATTGATTTGTACGATTGTTTTATGTGACGGAGAAAAAAAATTCGATTGTCCGGCGAGCTATTCGCGAATAGCGAACGTTAATTTATTCCAAAAACCGCGCGGGTTTCGTAGGCAAGCGGAGAGAAAAAAAAAACCCGTTCGCGTACTTGCGCGGTAGGTACGGGCGAAAAAATAATGTTATTAATATATACGCGCGACACCGCCGCCGTAAGGTCACGTCCGCCCGTCAACGTTCGCTCGCGAATATTCGCGCGGCGGCGTAATAATGCGCCGAGGCGGGCAGCGGGTACCCGACCGGATCGCCGAACCCGCGCGCGACACACGGCCGAACCGCCGAACGGATAATCGTCGCGCACACGGACGGGACATCCCTGCACGCCCATTATACGCGCGGCACGCCGCGAGCGAACCTGTCGAAACCACGCGTAACCGAACTCGGCTCGGAATCGTTTTCCGTTTGGCCGCGACGACCGACCGCGGCTCACGGACGCGCGTCGCGTTCGCCCTGCGCGCCCACCCGATAATTTTCGCCTACAGCAGCGGGCCGCCCGTCGCCGCGAAGCACGTCCGCTAACGCGCGTACAATCACCGCTGTGATAACTTTGGAGAACGGACTTGTCTCACTTGTTTCGACCGGCGGTCGAAGTTTTCGGCGGCGGGCGGTGAGAAATGGGCACGCTCAGTAGCGGGTGGTGGTGTTTCACAGAAAACACGACCGGGAATTTGCGACATTTTGCGTTGGACGTGTGTTAACGGTTCTCGACGTTACCGAGCGGTAACGTCCGCTGCGGTCGTCGACGCTGTAAACGCACTGTTTACGCGGGCGCCGATTGGGAGAGGGGGGGAATGGGGAGATGCGCCCGAAAACGTTCTCCGGATTCTCTACGCAGCGTTGGAGAGGTGTTGTCGGGTAACCGTAGCGTCGAACGGCAACGCTTTTGGAATATGGTCGGTGTTCGGTAAACGCGACGTTTTATGCCGCTCGGCGGCGACGGGTGTCCCGAAACGCCGAGACGCCCGGCGCCCCCCCCCCCCTCGAAATACCCGAAGTATTTCAACGGTCTCGTGCGCTTCTTTCTGTTTCAACCGTTACGATCCCGTTCCGAACGCGATTCCGATCGGTCCGCCGCGCGCGGACAATTAACGTCGCGGTGTATTTCCGTTGTTTTCGACATTCGCACTTCCCGTCCGCGGCGCCGCGCGGGACCGGGTCACGCACGCGTGACGCTGAAACATCGCGGACGGACGCGCGCGTGGTACGATCAAAATCTATGTTGCAGCGGAAACGGAACAAAAACGGTTATCGTTTACGGCCCGTTTACGGAACTCGTGAAATCGCGTATAAAATACCGTATAAAAAAATGTGTACACAAAACGGTCATTATGTAAACGCGACGCGTAATAATTACGAAAATTAACATTAACTTTATTATCGCTTATTTTTCAACGATTTTTTTTTTTTTATTTTTATTCTCCGTTCGTGTTTTTTTTTTTTTTTTTTTTTTTTTTTTTAATTTATCGGTTTATCGTTTTGTTTTACCGAAATAATTGCCGTCTATTATACCGCGTCGTTTCGTTTAGTGACCGTCGTCGAGTCCGTATTGCCGTTTACCGCTACAATAACATCGTTATTACGTTCGTTATTCTACGCGAGCGTGATTTCTACCAGACGTCGTGACGCCCGTAAAATCCGGGGGATAAAACGTAGGAAAACCGGGAAAATTCACGAAAACGACGGTTTTATTAATATTTATTCGGTAGGTACGGGTACTCGGCGGGAGAAATTGCTAGACCGAACAGAAATAATGGTTGAAAATTTCACAGGAGTATCTTTATGAGACGCATACTTAGCGGTCAAAAAGATAAAGTTGATTTTAATGTGGTATATATTTTTATTTTTTTTCCTATAGATTTTCAATATAAAATCTTGACGAAAATCGTAAATATTGACGCCGTTTAAAACGCGTACAACCGAACTCCGCTCGGAATCGTTTTTTCGTCGGCAACGGTCGACCGTTGCTCACGGGTACACATTAAACGCTCTACATCCCCCTCCCCCAACTCTATACATCCTACGTTCCCGACTTCTCGCCTACAACCGGAGTTAATATTAAAATAATGTATCGGGTGTATAATATTATATACTTACGGGCGGAAGACCTATTGCAGCGCGGACTCGGTTTCGTCGGCGGCTTCTCGTTTCCGTGGCTGTCGGGCTGCTGTCGGCTGGCAAACAGGAAAAAACGGCAAGGCACGCGCGAGTGCGCCAGACAAATGAAATCGCGGAGTTCGCCGCCGAACGTTCGGACGGGTGTCCTAGACGTTCCGGGGCGCGACGCGGGGCAGGGGGGGGATAGAGCGCGTCAGCTAGCGCAACCGGTGGCTCGTTCCCGCGACGCGTCTGCCGTGCGACGCATACAGAGTGTCCCACGAGAAGACATTCGTAATATTTCCGGAGATAATCGAAACGATCGAATTCCGTTTTTTTTTCTTTTTTCTATATAACTCACTGCGCGGAGGTAAGGACTACAATTAATATTTATATCGCGATAAATATTGTTTGCTTTGATAAAAAAAAAACCTTTAGTAAAGAATTTTCTTCGGAGAACAGCGTACCTACATAATTGTATGCGTAACAGGCTGTAATCGCGTATTCTCTAATCGATTATTATCATTATTACGACGATTAATCGACTGCGGTATAATTATTAAAAAAAAAAAAAAATCATCACGAATCTAATGAAAATCGAAAATGTTCGGAAAAATAAATGGCTATAATAGCTTCAAATTGTTCATAAATAACAAAATAAAAAGATATTTTTTTTCAATTTGTTTTCCCAAAACAACAATTGATCGCCGTCAACTATCATTCCGTGTGCCAGCGAGTGACATAAAAACAACATTATCATTATTATCTCCGGAGATATCGTACAGTAAATATGAGTACATCTTCGCGGGACATCCTGTACAGTGCCCGCCCGATATTCTCGTGGTAAACAATAAATTAATTCGCCGAATGGTCCGAAACGTTTTGATTTTCACGCGTTTTCGCGGGCGACGTGTCGCCGCGGAGGTTTGCCGCATCGGTGCAGCGCGCCGCCGTTCTCCCGGCCGCCGCCCGCGTCTTTGTGAACCCAAACCGATTTCCGGACCGGACGATTTCGCCACGATCAAACGCTTTTCGTAATGCACACTGCGACACCGTATCGCACAACCGTCCGGAAAACGGGGAGGTGTAAGGGGGGGGGGGGGGAGACATATTATGTGCGTGTTTATAATTCGCGCGCGCAGGGTTTTTTGCTCGAGATGGGTTTTGTTCGTGATCGCATTTCCTGCAGTGGCGGTAGCTCGTCGTGCTATCAGTATTGCACAGTGAATATTACCGAATAAATTTGTTTTTAAAATAGGGGACCTTGAACCCCTAACCTCCCCCCCTCCGTACCACCATCTGTGCGCGCCGCTGCCGATGTTACGATAATGGCATTTTCGCAGATGTTTACTGCGTCGGATTGCGGACGCGGGCCGTGAGAATGTCGTGCGGTGTTGTTTTTATTAATACCAATATTGATCATCGTTATAATATGCACGCGCACGCGCATTCCCCTCGAACGGGTACCGGGCGAAAAATTGGCGGTGAAGTTGCGGAGAAAATGTCATGCCGAAAACATAATAATTTCGAAATCTCGCGAGACTTGAGACGGCCCGGACAACCCAACTGGTACAGAGGCAAACACGAATGATAAGTTATTGACACGCGCCCGGGCAATCTAATGTTCCGCGAGATCGGTTTATTATAATCCGTAAAAAAAACGTTCGAATGCAAGTACGTGATTATTATTTATGACGTCATAGCGTCGCGCTGTACACACACGTCTGCGTGTGATTATTTGAATATTTCGAACGCGACAGCAAAAAAAAAAAAAAAAAAAATTGCGCGGATTTCTCGTCGACACGTTATTGTTTTTTTTTTTTTCTCTGATCGTTCAACGCGGTCAATACCTGTTTGTAAGTACGCCGTACAATAACCCGTACATACGCATATTTACCTACCGCGTACGCGAAACGCGCAACCGACTAGAGAAAATTTCATGTTTGAGTAGAGGCGCTGCAGTAGGTTAAGTTCACTTTTCCAGTCGGCTGCTGGTCCGCGTCCGTGTCGATGATTAATCTGTCGGCGTTGCGTAACAACAGTATAACAATTAATTACAATATTACAATATTCTTGCGCGGCCGATGGCCTTATCAGTAATAAAAATGGCTGTCTCTCTGGTTATCTACAGAATTTTCGGTATTAATTAGGTACACATGTACACCTGCCTAATGTGTCCGGTATTATAATGTTTCGTTGTAGGTTTTAAATATTTTCTCCGCGGCGGAGAAAACACGCGTTTCGTTACAAACGCCGTGGGCAATGCAATTAGTCGAGTGTTGACGCCTAATTATTTCGAACGAAATATTTATGAAACGTTATCGTCGAGGTGGAAACGCACGGCGATTTGAAAACGCGTTAAATACACATTGTCGCGGAACAAACGCGTATGGGTAACGCGTTTTACTGTCAGCTTTTGCCCGGTTTACGCGGTCAAACATTTCGACGCAAGTCTACTCTACGACGAATATTCGTTTGGAAAACAGATAGAAATTCCAACGGGTACACTGAAAATTATCGAATTGTATGCGTATTACACCGAAATATTCGAAATATTCATGATATTTCAATAAACCCTATCGGCGGTGATATGATAATTAGGTATATTAGTCGAATCGTCAAACGCGTTTAATAACCATTTTACCAGGCCTCAGGACACTCCGTACACGCAGTGTCCAATACGGTGACGACCTCGGGTCTGTGAAACCGCCCAAAAACCACTCCGACTCGATAAACAAACGACAGGAATTCGAAAGAATAGATACTTTCAATAAGCGCACGCGAGTGCTTTGGACAGGGGAGGTAACGGTCTTTGAAATCAAACCTTACGTAAGATCTTGTCTTATATTATCTTATGCATGAATAGCCACAATATTTTTGTGGGGGGTTCAAGCGCTTATTATGATTATATATATATATATACTTGGTATTTACTTGATGAAGACTTTTGGGTGGGGGGAATCGGTTGAGTTTTATGGGGAGGCAAGGAAATCTACCAAACCCCCCTTCTCTATGCACAAAATCATAGGGACGTTAGGATTCAATATTTAAAAAAAAATTAATATCTACCATGTTTTTTGATAAATTATCTGGCGGAAAATTTTGCAGAGGAGGCAGTCGCCTCTCCTGACCCCCCTCCCGTGCGCACGCTTACGGATACACAAACGGATCAGAAACGTTTTTCCTATCAGGTTGGTCAATCGTATTCTAATAGGTTCATACTTCAGATCACAAAGGTAAATAAAAAATCGATCAGCTAATCGAATGTCGTTTCCTAAATTGTTCGTTGATTTTACCGGATTTTATAGGCAAAACAAAATAAATAACACTTAATGTATAAAAGGACTTAAATCAAACAAAAACAATATTTTTTACAACCGCTATAAGAAATTCAAATGTTATGAATCAAAACTTATGACTTACGAGCAACAAATCATAACAGACAGATCAATTACTCGCGAAACGCCTGAAACTCTAAATATGGGCCCCAGGCCGCCCGGCTATCGGCAAGTTCAAGTACGAGCAAGTTAGTATTTTACGTTATACAAATTTAAACGTGTACACGATTTTCCGTATAACGTTACAAGGACACTTAGTGTTTAAAGCTTAAAATTTAGCGTTAAATGTTCCGCAGAATTTAACATTTAGAATGCGATATGGTTATTCAATATTTGCATTTGTTATTCAAAATTTAAGCATTCATTTTATTAATTTATACGGGAAACCACTACACTTGACACTTGAGACATTTTGAGGAAGATTTTATGCTAATTAGGTATACCTAATTTGATATTCATTTTTTTTTCGTCATTATTTATTATTATATTATATAATGAAATATATATATATAAATTATGATACATATGTTATCTGTTATCATTTAACGTTATAGTCATAAATCATAACTGATTTCCGAGTTTCGAACTGATATAATAATATCAGACGCGGCCAGTTACGGCGTGTTGAACAAATCAAATATAGGCAATGGGAAAATATTCGACCGTGTGAATAAAGAGTGTGGAAAATAAATTCGCAAAAAGAGAAATATTGTCCAAACGAGCCTTGGCCAAATTTTAATTGCGACTTACCACTGGGATCGGGTTTTTCTTTTGTAAGATTTTATTGTTTATGTAAAAATAAAAAAAAAATTGAATACTGGCTCTTGTTGTTGTAGTGAATCACCAAAACAATAACGGTGCTACAGTTATTTTATCAGACTACCTATAACAAACAGTAGCAAAGTCCAAAACCGGTCAATTTCTGAACCGGACGTGTTTAAATTACCATCTATTATAGGTGGTTATCTGATGTTTTAGTACGACGACGACCGACAAACTTCGAAAAATGTAAATACTTGTACTGGACGAACATTTCCTATATAGGTACGACGATAATATTTGTTGGTCGATTCATTACGGCATATAAAATATAAGGGCTCTGACTATTGTAATCCTCCCGCTCAATTAACTAAATCCTTTTTATCGTTAAATTTGAAAATACGGCATACAATTTTTTTTTTAAATGAATACTTAAAATACTTTAAGATTAAATGGAAGAACGAAAAAAAGTAGAATAATAAACATTTTACAAATCTTGGAACCGAAAAATTACTTAAAATATAATTAAACCAAAAAAGAGTAGATATTGGGGATGGGTGTGTTATTCTTGTAAGTAGGGAGTTTGAAGTGCAGAATACATAATTCTATTTAATTTATATCTGTGAGCAACGATGAAAAATTGCTAAACCGATTATGAGCGAAGTTCATATTTATATATGATATTTGAAGCCGTAATATTTACGATTTTGTTGAAAATTTGATCTTAAAATAATTATAAACAAAAATTTACTAAATTAGTACAATACAGTCAATTTTTCATTTGTTTACCATTATAAGAACAACTTATAGTAAAACTCTTGTTAAATGATCAAGCTTCACTATTAGGTCAAACAATGAAATTCACATATTTAAATTAAATCACGTCTGGAAAAGGCAAATATAAGTTTTTTCTAATAAAATTTCAAGGATCTACGATAGTTTTTAATTGAATTATAACAAAAAAACAAAATTGAAAATAATAAAACCATGTTTTTGCGTTCTTTGAACGTTTATTATTTTTTTTTTTTTGTTTCACTCAATTATTAAAAAAACTACACGGGAAAACAAAAAAAAAAACGACTTTTTTATTCATCAATTAGATTAAAATTTCAACAAAAGGTCTCATTTCGTTTTTCCGGTGGAAAACATCACGCATACAAATTATCAAAATAATGAAATCGGTTAATACATGCCGTTTTTCCGGTAATTTTTCGTCCTGCTTTTTATAATTATTTTCAAAAACCCCTTGGGAAATCGAAAATATACCTTCCCAACGCACCAACTATGAATAAAATTTCCTTTCGGAAAAGGCGCTAAACCCGGTACGTACACCGGATCAAGTCGAAAGAAAAGAGAACGGAAAAAAAAAAAAAATAATAATAAAGGAAAACGTATCTCGCGGGAGGGTATAGCGATTCACTCGTCTCTCGTTAGTCTGAAACTTTTCCCGAAAAAAATCGTTTTCCGTTCCCGTCAAGTGGAATTCCGTTATAGTGCACTCGGCCGGTATAGGGGCACTTTGGGTGTACTAGTACGGGCATCTAGGTACGGCGAGAGTATACACGCCTTTGCCGTTTTATTATCGTTATTTCATTCGGGCGGTCATCGTCCACTCCCCTCCCTCCCACCCCCC